TTGACCATGAACCTTAAGTACTTATTGTGCAAACTGCACTTGGAGGAGACAGAGTATAAGAAGACATGATGATCCCTACTCCGGGAGAGCCCAGTGTATAATGGGAAAGATAAAGCCTCAATAAATGTAATACAAGGTAGAACTGATAGGTCACAAGGAAAGTGAGATAAAGGGCCTTGGGAAGAAGAAAGAACTGTATCAGCTTTGGGGTGGGTGCAGAAAAAGAGAAAATAGGGAAGGCTTCATGAAACATGTTAATTTGGAACATCTGGGGCTTGTGAGAGGCGGGACAAGGAATACTTTTCATATGAAGTGTTCAAGGATGACCCACTGAGAAGTCAACATTTGAGCAATAACTCAAATATAGGGAATAAATCATGTGGCTATCTGGGGGAAGAATGCTCCAAATAGAGGGCAAAAGTTCTGAGGTTAAGTGTGCTTGGTGTTTTTGCCAAACAGGAGGCCATGTGGCTGGAGCAGATTGACAGGGAGAGGAAGAGAGAATAGGAGTATATATGAGGACAGAGAAGTAATGAGGATCTAGATCAGCGGTCGCCAACTGGTGGTCCGCGGACCACTGGTGGTCTGAGAGGTCCAAAAGGTTGGCAACCACTAGTTTAGATCATATAGGAACTAGTTGGCAATTGTTAGGAGTTTTACTTTTACTCACAATGGTATGGGAAGATATCTGAGCATTTTGAGTAGATGAGTGACATGATCTGACTTACCTAATGGTGAGTTTGGTCTAGGATGGTAGAAATATTTATGAAGAGAAGTAGTCCTAATTCTAAATATATTTTGAATTAATATGGATTACAATACATTTGGAGAGTGTAAGGGTAAGTTAGGTAGAGAAAGCTCCCTGGAGGATGAAGATGAGATGACTGTATACCTTGGATTGTCCCATATCGTATAGCCTCCAGGTAAAGGGGAAGTTAGTTTGGTCTACAGCAAGGGTTCCCAACTGGTAGCCCATCAGCTAAATCTTATTAATAGTTTTGTTTGATCACAGTGTTTTAAACCTTTAAAATTTAGTTGTCAACACTTAAAAATTCAGAAATAGATTCCAGGCCTCTTAAAAACTGAAAAAAAAAAAAAGGCAAATTTGAGCTTTTATTCCTGAAGTGCAAAAGTTAATAGGAACTAAGTTTATGTACTTAGATGTCTCCTTTTCCCAGAGCATGTACTAGTATTCTCCAGTTTTCCAGTCCCCGCCCCTTCCTTCCCCGCTCCTCTCAAAAAATTTAGACGGTGTCATTGCACATGCACTGCTGTTTTCCTATAGAAGAGTTAAGAGGAGCCCTGGCAGGTGTGGCTCAGTTCGTTGGGCATCAATCCATTCCCAGTCAGGGCATATGCCCCGGTTGCAGACTCAATCTCCAGTAGGGGGAGTGCAGGAGGCAGCCAATGTTTCTCTCTTCTCCCTTCCTCTCTAAAAATCAATAAATTATTCTTTTAAAAAAATGAATGAAAGAAAGAATGAAAAGGAAAGTTAACTATTTCTTGTTGCTATCAAAATTTTTCTTTTATATGGTCCACTTCACTCATTTATGTTACCTGCCTGGATCCTGTTGATTTTTGAGTTTGCAACTCCCAATGTAGAGGAAAGAGGACTGGACCCTGAGTCCTGGTACCTATTCTGCCTCAGTCTACCATGTGACCTTAAGCACAAAAAGTGGCCTCTTGGATCTCTTTCGAGCTAGGAGACTAAATTGGATATTCTTTGAAAAATTCTAACATTCTAGAGGGCTTGAGGTATTGCAGTATGCCAGTACTGTGTACCCTCCCCCTCCCAAACAGCCAGGGGGCCCAGCCCGGTATGTATGTCAGAGAAAGAAGACACTGGAAGGAGTAAGGTGCCTATATTAATAATGTATAACTTGTGCCCAGAGCCAGGGAGACAAATGTACACTGTGGTGTGTGTGTGTGTGTGTGTGTGTGTGTGTGTGTGTGTGTGTGTGATTAGAAATGGGCTCAAATAAGCTATTCTTGTATAGGTTTGTGCTTATCTATTCCTGTGTACTTTCTATGTACCAGGCTCTATTTTAGGTGCTAGGGGTTAGCAATGAACAAGACAGACAATGTCTCTGTTGTAATGGAGTTTATATTCTAGTGAAAGACACAGATAATATTCAAGTAAATAAAATACATGAGATAATTTCAAATAATGGGAAGTTTCATGAAAAAAATAAAACAATGATTTGATAGATAGTTTCTGGAGGGGCAAGCTGTGCACATAGGTGGGTGTATAAATGTGGTACGTGTACTTGCAGAGGACCCATGTTTGACTCCTGGATCCATATATTTATGCTTATTTGTGCCTATGTATGTAAATGGGCAGATTTTATGCCTATAATATTTTGTATGTTATATGTAATATTATGCATTTCAGTGTACACAGGTGAGCTGGTATATTGGTATGCATGTGGAAACATATGTGCATGGGTATGTGGTATGTTCTATATTTAGCCTTAACTGGAGATGTTCTGAAGTTCCTATGGCACGTCAGTGGGCCAGTTAAGGAAATGGCTTTTTTGCCTTTGGCATTCAGGGCCATTTGCCAGCTTCTTCTCTCCTTGTTTCTTCCCACATTAGAAAGCTCTCTCTGCCTGGCTCCTCCCGGCCCTAGGGGGGCTAAGCCAAGGAAAGCATAGTAACTTACTCAGTAAGCCAGGAAGTGGAAAGAGGCTGATAATCTTCTGTGTAACCTCCAAAGGCCTGGCTTCTTTGCTAGCCCCTGTCTTTTACACTGTGAGGGGAAAGGGTCTGGACTTGAAATCAGAAGACCTGAGGATCTATTCTTGGCTCTGCCGTTTATGATTGTGTGACCTTAGCCAAGCTATTACCTCTTTCTAGGTTTCAGTTACCATCTTCATAAGTACTCTGGGTAGTGTAGTATTTAGGGAGAGCTATGCAGTGCTGGTGCCTGAAGGAGGAGGGAAGGTATTCTGAGCAGGGACAATGGTATGATCAAAAGTGTGGAGGTGGGCCTTTGTGTGTGTTTAAGGGAAGCCAAGAGAAATCCACTTAGAATAAAATTAAAACTTCTTACCATTGCCTACAAGGCCCTACATGATCTGGTGCTGTCTACTTCTCATTCTTACCCTCCTTGTTCCCTATACTTAAGCTAAACTGGCTTCCTTTCTGTTCTTTGAAATGGCCAAGCTCTTTACCACCTCAGTGCCTTTCCAAATTTCAATGTTCTCTCTGCCTGGGGTACTCTTCCCAAGAATTCACATAGTTGCCTACTTCTCATTACTTAGGTCTTAGCTCAAATATCACCTCCCCAGGGAGAGGCCTTCCTTGACCATCTTATTTAGAGTATCATCCTCTACTGTTTATCAATATTTAAAATGCACATATCCTTTGACCCAACAATTTTACTTCTAGTAATTCACCCTACAGATATATTTGCAAGTGAATAAAATAACACATGAATAAAGATATTAATTGAAGCATTTATTTGTTAAATAAATTATGGTACATACAAACAGTAGAATATTATGCAGATGACAAAGAAAATTAAACAGCACAATAAGTCTTGATGGAGAATGATATCAATGTATATTAAGTTTTTTAAAAAGTAAGATTATTGAGCTCTATACTTAAGATTTATTGGATTTATAGTATACTCATAAAAATAAGACACAGAATAGTGTGTACTGTATGCTATCATTGTATAGAAAACAGTGACTATATATAAACATAAATACATGTATTTATGCTTGTCTGATAGGCCTGTCCTGTGGTTATAGCAGCTCTTTCCCACGTCTACCCACACTGTGCTTAGTTGGGATCTATAGGGTACTTACTTTTCTTTTGAACAGCATTAAAATTCAGTTTTTTAAACTTTTAAAATTTCCATCTTCAGTGATATCCCAAGGACTTTATGAAAGATGCTAAAAGTGTAGACTTTTTCCAAAGTGATTATCTTGATCACTCCACATTAATTCACTTTCCCTATCTATACCTTCCATCTTACAAGGAGTGGCCTTGACTATTTCTGGAAACTTATACAACATAGGGTAACAGTGGTTGCTAGTAGGCAGGGTGATTGGGGGTGGGGGGTGGGAATTTCTCATCACATATCTTTTTATGCAGTAACATTTGTATTTATTACTTACTCAAAAAATAAAATTGAAAAAGAAAAACCACTGAGGAGGAATATTCTTATAGCTAAATATTCACATATAATCATGAAAGTTCCTTAAAATGTCTTTAAAAAAAGTATTTCTTCTCAAGTAATGGTTATCATAATCTGAAATTATCTTGGTTGTATTTGTTACTTGTGTATTTCTTCCACTATCATTGGAATATAAGCTCCATGTTGTCAGGGATCTTGCTTCTCTTGTTTATCAGTGCCTTATTTCTATACATGTATATAGTACGTAGTAGTTATTGAATAAGCAAATGAACAAATGAAGGACTATCAAAGAAAACCAGGTGAAGCCTAGGGAGGACTGGGAGGCGAGGCTGAGGAGGACAGAAATCAGCTGATAGAGACTGGTGATTCTCAAACTTTAAATTTATATCACAATCACCTAGTGATTCTTTATAACAGCTTGTAATAAAGAAGTAGATTTTTGAATCCTGTGATTCTGATTCATTAGGTTTTAGTAGGGACTCAGGAATCTACATTTTAACACATTTCCCTAGGTGACTTGGGTGCAAGTGATCTGGAGACCCCACTTTACATCTGTGATATAATTTCTCCTTAATACATCCCTAGGATAGAAGATAAAGGACCATCATCTCATTTTATCAACCTAAATGAGGCTGAGAGATTAACAATACATTTTTCCAATGACACAGCTTGTGCATAAAGTATACTTTGAAAGGGCAAAGTATCTGACCAGTCAGTTTAAGGTAAAATTATAGATGGCTCACCCTCACAGGACATTCACAGGCCTTGGTGTTACTGAATGGATTTTACATTCCTATTTTTTGTTTGCGGAAGAGATTATACTCCCTAATGACTGGTTCTTTCTGATTTATCTCAGGGAGGGCAATGAGCCAGAGGAGACTACCCAAATCACATATCATGAACTTCTGGTCCAAGTGTGCCAGTTCAGCAATGTTCTCCGAAAACAGGGTGAGTGGGAAGGTCAGGGGAAGGGACTGGAGGGTCTGGCCTTGGGGTATCTGAGGACTTGGGGGAAGTAGATAAGGATGGGAGGAATCAGGTAATGGGAATAGAAGAGGTGATCTGGGGTGGTGGTGGTAGTGGTAGCTGGATGAGAGGGAGCGAGTAGCAGCAAGAAAGATCCATGGTCCATGGTCTGTGTCCTTTTCCTGCAGGCATTCGGAAGGGTGACCGAGTGGCCATCTACATGCCCATGATACCAAAGCTTGTGGTAGCAATGCTGGCATGTGCTCGCCTTGGGGCTCTCCACTCCATTGTGGTAGGAATTTGTGCTGGAAAGGGGGGCTGGTTGGGGATGGGACTCTGGAGAAGTAGGGTGGGCCTGGATGATGGAGGATCTTAAGAACCGGACTAAGGAGTTTAAAATGTTTTTGTTATAGTTTCCATATCAGTTATCCAGTTTCTTCTAGGATCCTGACTTAGAGACTCTAAAGGTTTTATGCATGACTCCTTTCCTTGTTCACTTATCCCTGGGTCCCCCTTTCCCTCAGTCTTTCTTCCCTTCCCTAGTTTGCAGGCTTTTCTGCAGAGTCTCTGTGTGAGCGGATCCTGGATGCCAGTTGCAGCCTTCTCATCACTGCAGGTGACTAATTTTCACCCCTTCTCCAGAAGCTCTGTACCCCAAGTCTTTGTTCCAATCAGCTAGTTGAGCTTTGGACTGCTCAATGTAGAGCAAGCATGTCAAACTCAAAGGCTAACACAGGCCAAATAAACAAGGTTTAAGTTTATGTGGGCCACAAAAAAAATAAAAGCTTCAATTTTCATAGAAACTCAGGTTTATTTCGATAGAGACATGCTGAATTCAAAGGGCTGAAATAAATGAGTAATCGTTAACATAAAATAATAGAACATTTTAATAAAAATTAATATTTTTTTCTTGAACATTAACTACCAGACATTGAATAACTGCACAAATTAATAAGCATAACACAAATAAACCTATTTTTCTTGTTCTCCCAAAGCAAAATATTTCCTGTTGCGCACACCAAACAAGTCAGTCAGAGACTAATGATGTGGCAATTAGTTGCTAAAATATTCGCTGCTAGTATTAGTAGAGAGAAATGGTGCGCCTGCGTGTAAGGCACGTAAGGGAAATGAATACAATATGATTATAGTAATCAGTCATTAGCGAACATTGTAGTTCGTTATTAATAATTATGTACAACAGGATATTGTAAAAATTGTTATGAAATTTTTATTAAAATGTTTCTTACATACCATTATATTGGCTGGGCCACAAAAATATTCGTTGTGGGCCGCATGCGGCCCACAGGCAGCAAGTTTGACATGCTTGATGTAGAGGGTAGGGACTGCCTACTCTTTAGCTCCTGGTTCTACCTCAGCCAACCCTCTGTCAGCTCAAATCAGCTGGAAGAACCAGAGTTAAGAGGCAACTCAGGAAGGACTCTGTGAACATTGTGCTCACTATGGATAAGGGGTGAGAAGTATGGTGCCTTCCTAAGACCTGAAATGTCTGTTGCTCCCCAAAGATGCCTTCTACAGGGGGGAAAAACTTGTGAAACTGAAGGAACTGGCTGATGAGGCCCTGGAGAAGTGTCGGGAGAAGTAAGTGTGTTTGGCCAGTTGGCTATTACTTTGGTCAATTTGGATTTTCCCCAGTGCCATGTTTCCTTTGTCTCTCCTACCCTGATGGACCTGGGTGGGCCCTACCAAATTCTCTTTTGAGCCTACCATCCTACCACTTCAGGCTTTTCTTTTCTCCAGGGGTTTCCCCGTGAGATGCTGCATTGTGGTCAAGCACCTGAGGAGGACAGAGCTGGGAACAGGTGACTCTCTCAGTCAGTCCCCCCCAATTAAGAGGCCATGTCCGGATGTGCAGGTGAGTCTGGCACTGCTAAGCCCTCTCATGGGCTCCAATTGGCTCCCTTTTCCTACCCATGAGGTTCTTGATGTCCTTCTTTACTTCCTCATTATAATGCTTGCATCTGAGAGCCATCCTAGAAATGCATCCTTGGCAGGACTAGCCGGGAGCTGAGGGCTTTGAACTTGAAAGTAGTTAGGGAGCCCCTTGCAACTTGGGACCTTAGCATGAGATATTGTGAGGGAGACTTCCATGCTGGTTGGCATGAGGGACACTCAGGGCTTGGACTTGGGTTAGAAATGGGCTGACTTGGGTGACTAAATATAATCATCTTGATTACTGGTCTGTGGCTTGGGTTGGGTTCCTGTGGGGTCCCACTATGGAAGGATCAAGATCTGGCTCTCAAGATATGGCTCTTATTAGAAAAGAAGGCAGTCAGAGGTTTGGGGCGCCCTTCCCTCTTACCCTTCCATCTCACTTCACTATACTTGGACCCTGCTCACTATGCTTTCCGTGGGCTCTTAACAGGGTAAGCTGAAAGAAAAACCCAAGTGCATCTGGCCCCAGGTATCCACCTCTGCACTGCCTTGGGCACTGCTTTCCTGCGTGCTTGTCTGTGTGTCCATTGCTTTTTGCCTGTTTGCCCCATTGAGTTGTCTGCCAGACCTAACCCTTTTCTCCCTATCCCTGGGTCCTTTGACATTTAAGTCACTTGGAAGTGTTGTAACACCAAGTGCCTGTTGCTACCCCTCTGAACTGACATAGAGCATGGATCTCAGGAAAGTAGCAACAGACAACTCATTTTTCTCCTGCAGCTCAGGACCAAGTAACCTGTCAGAAAGTTTATACTGTGCATTTAGTTGGGGCAGAGCCAGAAAGAGACAGGAGGAAGAGCAGGTAGAGGAGGTATAGCTCTTAACCTTGGGAATTCACCATCAAGCTGGGGAGTTTGATATGTATTACAAATGAAAGCCTAAGTTTTTTATAGGACAGCAGAGAAGATTCCTAAATATGTTTATATACTACTTTGGGATTTACAAATTGCACATATACTCTGATGTAATTAAGTACTTAATTGAACAAAAGTTACATTGTAGGTAGTTCTAGGAAGGGAAATCCTTAAGTGGGGAGTCAAAGCAAATTAGTATAGAGGAGAGAGTGGGTTTGGAGTCCAGAGACCAATTTTTAGCTGTATGACCTTGAATAAGTTGCCTCTGCTCTCTGGGCTTCACTTCCCTCATCAGGAATGGAAAGATGATAGTACATGTTTAAAAGGAAACCACTTTCCTTAATAAAACAAAGGAGAAAACCCACAATTCTTCCGAGTTTTACCATCCTCATAGGGTATCTTACTCTTAAATCTGCTATGATTATAACTTCTTAGGGTAATGGTAAAAATAATCCCCCTTTTCTCTATTCTCATTAGCATGGTAGAGACCCATCTGATTCCCAGGGGACACTGTGTTCTTTTTTTATTTTTTTAATATATTTTTATTGATTTCAGAGAGGAAGGGAGAGGGAGAGAGAAATAGAAACATCAATGATGAGTGAGAATCATTGATCGGCTGCCTCCTGCACGCCCCCTACTGGGGATCAAGCCTGCAATCTGGGCATGTGCTCTTGACCGGAATCAAACCCAGGACCCTTCAGTCCGCAGACCGACGCTCTATCCACTGAGCCAAACCGGCCAGGACGACACTGTGTTCTTTTAAAACTCAGGCAGGGGCCTTGCCAGTGTGGCTCAGAGGTTGAACGTCTACCTATGAACCAGGAGATCATGGTTCGCTTTCTGGTCAGAACATATGCCTGGGCCCCCAGTAGGGATCATGCAGGAAGCAGCCAATCAATGATTCTCTCTCATTATTAATGTTTCTGTCTCCCTCTCCCTTCCTCTCTGAAATAAATTCAAACAAACAAAAACCCCACCAAAAAACAAACAAACAAAAACTTCAGGCCGGGACCTACTAGTAAGACTTTTTCTCTTGAAGGAGGTAACAAATTTGGTAATTATAGTATAGGCTCTGGAGACAGACTACTTGGGTTCAAATCCTGGTTCTATCACCTGCTGTTATGGGAGCTTGGGCAAGTTGCATAAGCTCTTTTTCCTCAGTTTTCCCATCTGTAAAGGTGTTCAGGACATAGTAACTACTCCATAAAGGTTAGCTTTTATTAATAGCTTTGAACATAGATACACTGGCATTTCTAAGAGGGAAACCAGAAAAGAAAGAAACTCTTATAATTCTTTAATACCAGAGACCTTCAGGCCACAGACTCCTGGATTTTTGTTTCTTGGAGGTAAAGACAACCAATTACCAAAAAACCAAAGACCATAAAAATGGGCTTACTGAGAACTGCAGTCAAAGCTGCAGAATTCTTGGCAGAGCTCCAACCCCCTTCAAGGGAGGGCCTGCACAATTTGTATGTTCCCTCCTCAACTATGTCACCTTCAAACTTCCTCATGTTTCTCTCACACCTGGCAGCTTCCCTCCCTGAAACTATCCTGGTCCAAGGACAAAGGCCAACTAACTCCTCAATTTGTATTGCAGAAAATTCAAACTTTTTCCTGGTTCAAAGCTCTGGGCCCTTATAGGCACACACACCTAAAACACAGCCAATGTCTGCGGCACTAATTGAACTCACCCTACATCCTGGTGCAGATTATCAGCTCCACACCTGAAGCATGCCTCCCTCACCTTCTTACTCACATATTCACAAAGGAAGCAGTTTTATAAGATTATAAGTCCTCTCATTGCCACAGTGTAACTTACCCTTACATGTACCTAGTGCCTTTTTTTCTGACAATTCACACCAGTATTGTAGACCAGTACCATATGCCCAAAGCACTGACACACTTCTGCTTAAATACATTAATGACCTCATCTAAAGTAGATTGTTTGCAAGAAAAAAAGTGTTCATGTGACAAGGTATGTGTAGACCCATATGGTTATTCCACTAAAAAATAGAGTGTGTTGCCCTAGCCGGTTTGGCTCAGTGGATAGAGCGTTGGCCTGCGGGCCAAAGGGTCCTGGGTTAGATCTGGTCAAGGGCATGTACCTTGGTTGCAGGCTCCTCCTTGGCCTGGGCCCTGGTCAGGGCTTGTGCAGGAGGCAACCAATCGATGTGTTTCTCTCACATCGATGTTTCTCTCTATCTTTCTCTCTCTCTTCCACTCTCCCTAAAAATCAATGGAAAAATATCCTCAGGTGAGGATTAACAAAAATAAAAAATAGGGTGTGTTTTTGAGCTCAATGGTAGCTTTTCTCTCCTCTTTTTCTTCTTAAAATTTTAATGGTGCCTCATTTGGCCTGGGCTTGTCATTCTTATGATGCTTATGTGCCAGAAACTTCAATTTCTGTAAACTAAGGGGCAGATAGTAAGGGGAGTTGTTGGAGATTCATTTTATAATTCATCAAAGTATGTGTAACACTTTGGGGTTTTTAAAACAAAACTAGAGGCCCGATGCACAAAATTCATGCAAGGGGCTCAGCCCTCACAGCCCCTCGCAGCCCTGGCTTCGTCCGGAAGGTCGTCGGGATGGTTAGCATATTTGGTCTAGTTAGCATATTAGCTTTTTATTATATAGGATATGCACATACCAGATTATCATATAGACATACAACAGGAGTAAGGTGTTTCTATTACAATATCATGTCTACCTGCCAGCCAGGGCCATTGAACATAGAGGCTAATGAATATGAAAGGGCTTGTTGACAAGTAAAGCAAACCCCAAACAGTTCCCATCATCATACCCTTAAATTCATCTTCCAGAGGAGGTCAGTGGAACTGAACTAAGTTCTATCTTTCCTGATATTTATTAGTCTTCCCCACCCCCCAGGATAAACCAAGACTTGATGTTTACTAGGCAATACCTTTCTCTTTTGATGTTCCCCAAATCCTGAGAGACCACTGGGGCAAGAATGACTATCTTCATTTTATTTTTATTTTTGTTAATTCTCACCCAAGGATATTTTCCATTGATTTTTAGAGAGAGTGGAAGGGAGGGGGAGAGACAGAGAAAAAGAAATATCAATGTGAGAGAAGCACATCAACTGGTCACCTCCTGCATGCACCCCCAGGACCGGGGATTGAGCCTGCAACCGAGGTTCGTACCCTTGATTGGAATTGAACCCAGGACATTCAGTCTGCACTCTATCTACTGAGCCAAACCAGCTAGGGCAACTATCTTCATTTTAAAAAGGAGGGACAAGGTAAAGTGACTTGTGTAAGGTCATATATAGCTAGAAGTGGCAGAACTGGAATTGAAATACAGTGCAATTTTTGGACAAATTCAGGGAATCCAACTTCACTCAGCAAAGAACAGACTCAGAAAACTAGTTGTTCAAATAAATGATATAACCAGGAAAGTAAAGCAGTTTCAAGCAGAGTTTAGAAAAATTTAAGGATGACAGATCCAGAAATAGTTATCAAAGGCACTCCAGTATAGGAGGACATCCCTCTACTAGAAGTCCACGTTGGTCCTTCTCCACCAACTTAAAGCAAGGCTTCTTGATGAATGGAACCTCAAGCAAATGTCTTTATGGAAAACTTATTGGTAGCAGTGATATAAAGGGGCAGAGCAAGGGTAGGAACCTCCAAGTGGAGAATGAAGTCTGGACATGCAGGAAAAGGCACTTGGACCAAGATCTATTGACTTCTTTCACTACTAACTAACAGAACCAGATGCCTGCCTCACCTGTAGGCTCTGGCTAATTTTGCATTTCTGAATTGTGTGGTGTTCGCATCCCTGCCGATGAGCTACTATTCCCATAAGTACATATGTGTGTATGCAGGTCTGTGTGTGCATATTCATCCAACAAAAATTTATTGAGTGCCTTTTGAGAACCAGGCATTTTGCTAGGTGGTGGGGACATGGGGGGAAAAAGACAGACATGCCACTGCCTTCATAGAGGTCACTATCTAGTGTAATCAAGGGAACAACTAAATAAAATAACTGGAAATATGTGCTGTGTGGGAAAGAAATATGGTGCTGTGATAAAGAATACTGGCAGGGGATGATGATGGGGTGGAAATCTACCAGATACTGTTCAGGAAAAGCCTGTCTCTCTGCTCCATTCCACCCTCCCAGGGCCCTTCCTCCTCCCCAGCACCCCACCTGCCAGTCCCACTCTAGTCTTTCCAGGTGCCATTTATCTCTTGTCCCCATTTGGCACTGTTCAAAGTTCTTTCCTGTCCTTTCCTGTCTTCCTTCTGCAGATATCCTGGAATGAGGGGGTTGACTTCTGGTGGCATGAACTCATACACGAGGCAGGGGATGAGTGTGAGCCTGAGTGGTGTGATGCCGAGGACCCGCTCTTCATCCTGTACACCAGTGGCTCCACAGGCAAACCCAAGGCAAGTGTGCGTGTGTGTGCGTGTGTATAGCATGTAATGACATAAATTTTACTCTACGACCCTGAGGTACAGAAATGTCACATTACCTTTTTTTAAAATATATTTTTATTGATTTCAGAGAGGAAGGGAGAGGGGGAGAGAGAGATAGAAACAGCAATAATGAGAGAATCATTGATTGGCTGCCTCCTGCATGCCGCACACTGGGAATCAAGCTCACAACCCGGGCATGTGCCCTGACTGGGAGTCGAACCATGACCTCCTGGTTCATAAGTCAACGCTCAACCACTGAGCCACGCTGGCCGGGCTCATATTACCTTTTCTAAATCAAATTTAGACACTAGATTGTGAGGCCTAGGATGAGATAATTCACGTGGGGGCTTTCATAATGCCAAGAGGAGGAGAAAAGGATCAGTCCATGTGATTTATATTGATGTTTTTTGCCCATGCCTACATGGTTTGGTTGAAGGAGAGCTGCCTTGTCTACTCATGGTCACAGGTAGGCACAAGGATCTCTCTTGGGCTCCTAGACTACAGCTCTTAGAGTTCAGTTTCTTCAACATGCCACACTTTAACATGTAGTTCCTCCCAGAGCACAATAAGAGCCAAAAAATACTTAAGAAAACCCTGTTCCATTGACTTGAAAGATATGTTACTCTGCCTTCCACCTACCCCATCCCTAAATTCTTTGGAATATCCCTTAATGGGCCTTTAGAAACACAGTTTTGGCCTCTCTTTCCTAGGGATGGGATATTGATAAAGTAAGAGAATAAGATTGTCTCTTCCCCCCACCACACACACACACTTTCATTTTGTCAACGGGTAAATTGAGTGTGTGTGCACAAATGCACAACAGAGACACTATTATGTACTCAAAGTGATCATATGTTAGAGTGATGTGGGTAGCTCAGAAATACCATTTTAGGGTGTGGGTGTGAATGATGGACTGAATGTATATGTGTGTGAAGTGTGATATGGGAACATGGAGAAAAGGTGCTAGAAGAGATGGATGCTCTGAAAGAGGTGCTGGCAGAGCCAAAATCTTTGAGGAGGATATTCCTCTAGCTCTGCCCAGCCAGCCTATATTTGGTGGTCAGTGGGGGTGAACCCAAGCCCCATCCTGAGGCCCTATTCTCCCCGCAGGGTGTGGTACACACAGTTGGAGGCTACATGCTCTATGTGGCCACAACCTTCAAGTACGTGTTTGACTTCCATGCAGAGGATGTGTTCTGGTGCACAGCAGACATTGGCTGGATCACTGGCCATTCCTATGTCACCTATGGACCAATGGCTAACGGTGCCACCAGTGTTTTGGTGAGAGTGGAGCTGGGACCCATGGCTACCTGGCCTACTTAGGGGTGGACAAGATGATCCTGGGTGACTGCCTCCAATGGCTACTTGGTCTAGAGGAAGTAGGACTTACACAGTTCTTACTCAGTTCTGAGGGGATTATGAATCCTAAGTGGGAAGTTCTCTTGGCTTATCTGGTAAAGGAGTGAAGGCACGGGTTTGTCAGAAAGGGCAAAATACTAAGTCTGAGGGTATGGTAGCGGGGTGGAGGGGACTATTGGGAAGGACCAGGAATGACCAGTCTTCACTGGGGTTAGTTTGAGGGGATCCCCACATACCCGGACGTGAGCCGCATGTGGAGTATTGTGGACAAGTACAAGGTGACCAAGTTCTACACAGCACCTACAGCTATCCGCCTGCTCATGAAGTTTGGAGATAAGCCTGTCACCAAGTGAGACCCCTCCCCAGCTGTTGCCCCATGGGTGTCCCTCAGAGTTGGATACTGGCCTTTGTGTACAGTCTTTTCCATGCCACTGTTCTAGCTTTCTGATCTGGAATGGAAGTTGGGTGGCGGGGGTGGCAGGAGAACATGGGTATGTCTTCTGATTCCCAGTGGTACTTAGAGCCTAACTCTCTCCCCACTCCCTGCCCAAGGCATAGCCGGGCATCCTTACAGGTATTAGGCACAGTAGGAGAACCCATCAACCCTGAGGCCTGGTTGTGGTACCACCAGGTAGTAGGTGCCCAACGCTGCCCTATTGTGGACACCTTCTGGCAGACAGAGACAGTGAGTAAAGGGTCCAGAAGGTTGGGGCTCAGGGATAATATGGGAAGACTTACTCAAACCCCTGATCTCTGACTTCTACAGGGTGGCCATATGCTGACCCCCCTCCCTGGTGCAACACCCATGAAGCCTGGTTCTGCTGTGAGTGAGGCTCCTTTGGCTGGTCCTGGCTAGACAGGGGTAGAATCTTGGGGCGTTTGGCCTAGGTAGAGGGTGGAGGACTGGACTGAGATGTGTGATGAATTTGGGGCTCTGCCTCTCCTTGGGAGAGGTAGAGTTGAGTCAGAGTTGCCTCATTTCTCTCCTTGGGTCTCTTGTTTGCTTCCAGACCTTTCCATTTTTTGGTGTAGCTCCTGCAATCCTGAATGAGTCTGGGGAAGAGTTGGAAGGTGAAGCGGAAGGCTATCTGGTGAGGCCCTGGACCTTTGTGGTCTCTGAGGAGGAGTTGGGGGAAAGGGTCCACCAAGGGGTACCTTACTTTGCTTCAAAGTTTATAACCTAATCTCTCCTGGTAGCTGCTGTGATTAAAGTTCCAAACTTGAAGGTTTATCCTTTGTAGAGACCCTGCAGGGAATCGTTCTGGATATTTTGCCTGCCTCTCTGCCTTTTGGCCCATGAGACTCCTAAGGGCTCTGTTCAAAGATCTCTAATGGTGCCTTTTTGGGTCTGGAAGACTTAGTACCAACTTTTCCTTTAATAAACAATTCTAATGTGAAAGGAGGCTTCATAACATAGTGGGAAATCATATAGGCTCCAGAATCAACCTGCCTCAGTTCAAATCCTGGCTCTGCCTCTTCTGTGACCTCAGAAGTTAAGTTGCCTAACCCCCTGAACCTAAATTTTCTCATTTGTAAAACAGGATTCTAATAGTACCATTGTCTTCTGTAGTTGCTGGATTGATTAAATTAGATAACCCATGTGAAGAGTTTAGCACAAAACCTAACAGTCAGTGCTAGATAAATTTTAGCTGTTGTGATTTGTATTAGTACTTATATTGTCAGCCCTGACTCTCCATCCCACTTCACTTTTATTAAGAACAAGGTAGTAACAAGGGCAGCACTTGAATCCAGGTCTTCTGCCTCTTAGCCATCATCTCATCCATCTGCTGCCACAGGATGTTATTGATTGGGGCAATAATTTACTCATATGTGGGTCCCACATTTTTATACAACTGTTTTCATTTGCATCAAACTGGACCTGCTTTCCTGGGGGATTACCCAAAAGGACACTCAAATTTATTAAGTGCTTATTATAAATGGAACATTGTGCTAAGTATCTTCTACCTGCTATCAATTTAATCTTCAGATTATTTTCTCTGATTTACAGATAAGGATCCTGAAGCTCAGATAGGTAAAGTTACTTACCCAAAGTCACACAGCTAATAAGTGGCATAGTTGGGATTTCAAGCCTGGATTGTCTATCTCTAAAGCCTGTACTTTGTCTTACATCTCAGGAATGGCATTCAGGCCATTTCTCCTTAGATTTGGCAAAGCTTTGATTGTCTTTCAGTGAGACAGTGTAACAGATCTGATCACTGTGCCTTCCTCACTCCCCAGGTGTTCAAGCAGCCCTGGCCAGGGATCATGCGCACTGTCTATGGGAATCATGAACGCTTTGAGACCACTTACTTTAAGAAGTTCCCTGGGTACTACGTGACAGGAGATGGTGAGCCTTGGCTTTTCCCTACCTACACTTCCTATCAAGACATATACTTTTCCCTTTCATTTTCAGGAAGAATTGGCTAAGGGTGAAGAAACAGAGTGAGAGAGAAATGTGTCCAATGTGTCAGTGTCTAATACTGAGGCAGAGCTACAGAGCCTGTAAGAGCTGGGATGAGTACTGCAGGATGGGTCTCAGCGTGGTGCCATCTGAGATTTTTTTTTTAAATATATTTTTATTGATTTTTTTACAGAGAGGAAGGGAGAGGGATAGAAAGTTAGAAACATCGATGAGAGAGAAACATCAATCAGCTGCCTCCTGCACACCCCCTACTGGGGATGTGCCCGCAACCAAGGTACATGCCCTTGACCAGAATCGAACCTGGGACTCTTCAGTCCGCAGGCTGACACTCTATCCACTGAGTCAAACCGGTTAGGGCACTATCTGAGATTTGATGTATGAGGAAAGGTTCTTGTTGTCATTACTCCTGTGTTGAAAGAGATGGGGCATGTGACAGTATTACAATGTCATGTGTGTCCCCATATCTGGAGGCTGTGTTTGCCCATGAGTCCATCCACCATTTCATTCATCCACAGATATTTATTAAGCATTTACTATGTCCAGGTACTGATCTAAGCACAGGGGATATTACCATGAATAAGGTAGGCAAGTTCTCTGCTCTCATGGGGCTTACTTTCTATTAAAGGGATACAGACAGTAAACTTAGCAAACAAGTAAGCTAGCTTATTTTAGTGATAAGTGCTATGAAGGAAAAGTATTCTAAACAGAATAATGGGATAGAGTGTCTGCTGGCATAGTCATATATGGGATGGTGAGAGGCTTCTCTGAACTGACATTTGATCACAGACCTGAAAGGTGAGGAGGAGCCAGGCATGGGAAATCTGGAGTTAGTGTAAGTGTTCTGTGTAGACACATGCTTGAAATATCTGAGGAACAGACTGAAGCTTGTGTGGCCAGAGTGTAGTGAGCAAAGAAAACGTTATATGTAGTTGGAGCGGTAGATAATATAGGGCCTTGTGGACCATGGTGAGGATTTTGATTTTATCCAATGTACAGTGGGAGACTTTTAGAGGTTTTGAGCAGAGAAGTGATGAGGACTGATTTACTGTTTAGAAAATATTTGTCTAATTTATGGAGAATAAACTTTGGGTGGGTGTACTAGTTATCTATTGTTGTGGAGCAAATTACCCCAAACTTGGCAGTTTAAAAGAACAAATAGCCCTGGCCAGTGTATTTCAGTGGTTAGAGTGTTGGCCCGCACACCAAAGGGTCTTGGGTTTGATTCCCGGTCAAGGGCACGTTCCTGGGTTGAAGGTTCCATCCCTGGCCCAGTCTGGGCACATATGGGAGGCAACCAATTGATGTGTCTCTTTCACATCGATGTTTTTGCCCCCCCCCCCTTTTCTGAAGAATTGGTGGAGAGAATATCCACAGGTGAGGATTAAAAACAAATAAACAAAACCCAAACAAATATATTATCTTATAAAATTTCAGAGGATCAGCAACACAGTGGCTTAGCTGGCGGTTCTTGTTCAGAGTCTCGTGGGTTACAGTCAACTTGTCCTGAAATGTCTGGAGGACCCACTTCCAAGCCCACTCATGTGGCTGTTGGTGTGAACCCTCAGTTCCTTGCCACTGGGCATCTCTATAAGCCACTCACGACATGGCAGCTGGATTCCCCCAGAGCAAATAATCTGAGAGAACACAACCAAGATAGAAGCCACAGTGTCTTCTATAATCTAATCACAGAAATGACATCCCATCACTTCTGCCAAATTATATTGACTACACAGACTAACCCTAGTACAATGAGAAAGGACTACACGGGTATGAATGCCAGGAGGTAGAGATCAGTGTGACCACTTTGGAGCCTGGCTACCACAGTAGGCAAGAGTAGAAGCAGAAAGACTTGCTAGGAAGCTAGTGCAGTGGGTGTGGTGGTTTGGTAATGTGGATCATACATCCTACTGTGGGTATTTATTATGCTGTGGATTTCTTTTCTTCCCAGGTTGCCGGCGAGACCAGGATGGCTATTACTGGATCACTGGCAGGATTGATGACATGCTGAATGTATCTGGTGAGGGCCAGGGACCATTCTCCTTTCTCATTAGCCCTGATCTCTCAGCAAGTCCCAGTTAAAAGCCTTTTGAGAACCAGGATGTCCTTTGGCCAAACCTTGTTTGGAGTAAAGCATTCAGTTCTGGGCCCAAGTTTTGGAGGAAGAGTGAAAACACTGGAATGTGCCTAGAGGAGGGGAACTGGAATGGTGGGGCAACTGAAACATGCCATGTGAGGAATGAATGAAGGGCTTTCCCCATTTGACTAGACCAGGTCTGTCCTGTTGGCAGATGGAGCAGGGGTAGGGGTAGGGGTAGGGGTACGGGTAGAGGCCGGGATCTCTCATGGCATTTCCTTTCCCTTGACAAGGACACCTGCTGAGCACGGCAGAGGTGGAGTCAGCACTTGTGGAACATAAGGCTATCGCAGAGGCAGCCGTGGTCAGCCACCCTCATCCTGTGAAGGGCGAATGCCTCTACTGCTTTGTCACCCTGTGTGATGGCTATACCTTCAGCTCCACTCTCACCGAGGAGCTCAAGAAGCAGAGTGAGGAGCCTACCTGGGCAGACACTGGGGGGTTTGTCCTGATGTCCCAGTTATCTCAGCAGGCTGTTGAGGAAGGCTGGAGTAAGCTGTTCCCCAAACCACAAACAGGTCCCAGAGGGCTGACTGCCCTCTTTCCATTCAGTCTCCACTAGGATAATGGCCTGCATTTATAGAATTCTTTCTCTGTACCATCACTGTGCTAAGTGCTTTAAATGCATATAATCACCCCCCAAATTGATCCAATTGTTACCCTCATTATAAAGACTAAGAAATTGAGGCTCAGAGAAGTTGAATCACTTGCCCAGGGCCACACTGCTAGAAAAGTGGGATTTCAAATCTAGCAAGCTGATTCTAGAGCCTGACGGTGGATTAAGATAAATGAGATAGTAAAGAGATAATGTGCCCTAGCTGGTTTGGCTCAGTGGATAGAGTGACTAAAGGGTCAAAGGTTCGATTCCAGTCAAGGAACAAAGCTATCTTTACTTTGGTTTTGGGGAGCCTGGCTAATGATACTGAAGAAATGCCTAATGATTTGTTGTTACAGTTAGAGAAAAGATTGGCCCCATTGCCACACCGGATTACATCCAGAATGCACCTGGCTTGCCTAAAACCCGCTCAGGTATGTTCAGAGGCTGGAGGGACTTGGATTGGGATTGAGATTGACTGAGGCCCACTAGTGGTGGAATGTGTGGATGGAAGCCTTTGGCAGGGTTGGAATGGGTCATTGTAGTCACCAGGTAACCAGAAGCCTGTGGTCCCCCAGGGAAAATCATGAGGCGGGTGCTTCGGAAGATCGCTCAGAATGACCATGACCTGGGAGACATATCTACTGTGGCTGACCCATCTGTCATTAGCCAGCTCTTCAGCCACCGCTGCTTGACTGTCCAGTGAACAAGACTGCCCTTTATCCCGTACTCCCCGCTGCTTGCCTTTCCAAAGTTTTGCCCACCCTCCCTGCCCCTATCCAGGAGTGCTAAGGGCCAGGGCTGACCCACACGGAGGACCAGCTTTACCCCTGGGTGGAGGCAACTTTCTGTGACTGCCAGGAAGATAGGACAGGACCCAGGTCAGTATCAGGCTGCAGTGCTTTCAAAGAGCTCTTGGAGCCCAGAATAGGGTGAAGGTCATGTCCCTAACCCAAACTGAGTGTTCGGAAAGCAAGTGAGGGCCTAGACCAGCCGTGGGCAAACTGCGGCCCGCGGGCCGGATCTGGCCCATTTGAAATGAATAAAACTAAAAAAAAAAAAGACCGTACCCTTTTATGTAATGATGTTTACTTTGAATTTATATTAGTTCACACAAACACTCCATCCATGCTTTTGTTCCCCTCCGGTCCATGTAATGGTGTTTACTTTGAATTTATATTAGTTCACACAAACACTCCATCCATGCTTTTGTTCCGGCCCTCCGGTCCAGTTTAAGAACCCATTGTGGCCCTCGAGTCAAAAAGTTTGCCCACCCCTGGCCTAGACTGAAGAAGCAGGTAGGCAGCTCTGTAATCCTGTCAACTCTCAGGAAGCACCAGTACTTATCTTGGGCATGCACTTACCCTTAGAAACACCTGTGTATGAGACCTGGAATAATTATTATTTTTAAAAACACTTTGCTTCTTCTGCTCTGGGTCTTTTGTGCCAGATGGCAGTGCTTGCCTGCCCATTTGCTCCAGGGGCTGTGCAAGCAGGCTGTTTCCAGATGGTTTTCAGATCATTTGCTTCTTTGCAAGAGTAAATGTGTTTTATTCCTAGGGCCAGAGGAACTTGTCTTCCTTGCCCTCTGTTCCCACCCTCATCTGAACACAGTTGTGCCCACGACAGACACTCTCAAATGAAACTCTTTTCTTGCCTTGGTTCTGCTCAAGCCCTGTGGTTGTTGGAATAAAGTCTGTGACCTCAAGAAGGTGGTGACTTGTTTTCTTAGGTATCTTATAGGCTGGATACTTGCTAGCTGCTCTGATCTGCATGAGGATATTAAGGGGAGTGGCTTTTCCCAGGAATACCCCAATATCCTCCTCCTAAAACTTTTGGTTTGGGCAAACTAGGCAGGTCTACACTCATAGGCCCTTTGACAAATTACTGAGCTAAGCAGGAAAACAAATGAAGCCAGTTCATAACTGTGATGTTCCATCATAGTTGCCCTCCCTCCAGCTCCTGCTAGGGCCCCTCTCTTCTCCCTATGACCCCTTGGGAGCACTAGTGAGTGACTAAGGATTGGAATTTCAGGGCCCTATTCATAGGGTCTGGAGCTAGGGTGACACTGATTAGAGCCAAGTCACTTCCCCTGCTCTAATCCACCTTAAGTGGGCTGACCCAGATTAAAGCTCCTCGTTCCCCTAATTGCACAAACCAAGGAATCACAGAATCAGAAATGTAGTTTTATTTAAGGCAGAGGTAGGGAAAGGCTATGCCCTTCCATCCCCCTCCTCCTACCCCTAAGTTCTATCCTAAGTCAGACACTGGGACCTGCTGAAAAGGCTGAGGGGCTGACAGGAAGGTGGCAGGGTATTGGACTCTTACCTCTGATCAGCTTCCTTTCAGTTGTACCCATACCCCGAGGATTTAGGGGCTTCTAGATCTCACCTAAGGGAAATACAGCTTTCCTGGTCTTCAAATGGGACGAACCCAGAATTCACCCTTCTCTGGAAGAGACTAGCCCTCCAAAGGTAGGAGGAGAAAAGCACCTGTCAAGAGGACTAGGAGAGGGATGACAAGTATGAGGGATAGAAGGTCTCTTGAGCGAAGTCTGGGCAGGCCTGGCTGTGCCCTCACACAGGGTATGGGTTGTCCAGAACTGCCACTCCTGCTACCACACCACCATCTGCATGTTCAGTGGCTTTGGTTCGAAGCAGATGTCCCACGTGCTTGTTCATCACAAGTGTCTTTCCCTGCCTATAGAAATGGGAGCAGGAGACACACAACTGTCACCTAGACTCAGTCTTCAAACCCATGACCTTCCCTGGTTCCAGCTGAGCAGTACATGAGTCACTGACTACACCCAAGAAAGTGCTAGGATTTTAGAAACAGGTTTGGGTTTGCATCCTAGCTTGGAAAATACTAGCTCTGTGTCTTTGAACAAGTTACTCAGCCTTTCTAAATATCAATTTCTTCAATTTTAAGTGGGGATAATACCTCTCACTTTGCAAGACAGTCATGAGGCTTAAATAAAGCAGGAAAAGCACATAACATGATGCTAGGCTCACATTTCATGTTCTATAGTTATAAATCCCCTACTTCCCTCTCAAGATGGCTATGGTGATGGGGAGGATATGGGATGGTGGAGAGGGTTTGAGAGTGGCAGGCAGAGATGCTGTGAGTGGTGAGAGGGGATGATTATAGAGAGGGCAGGCTCTGGTGGGGAGCATGGCAGGATCTGGTATTCCTATCTTGCCCTGACCTTGGAGTATTTTCTAGGAAGCAGTAAGGGGGACCAGAAACTGTTCCTTATAAATACCCAAGTCTTCCTCTATTCTTGATTCTTTAGTGCTCAAATCCAAATCTAGGGGCCACTCAGATTTTCAAAGCCACTGAGTATCCTCTAGCTGGCCCATTCCACCTTTCCCCAGACCCTAGAAGACTGGGAACTAGACCTAAACTCTCTTCTTTCTTGGGGTCTCCTTCTAGTCCAGGGTTATTTTCTCATCCATATTGATACCTTAAGTGGTATCAATTACTTGAAATTTCCTTTATAGTTGCAAAACACTTCTCATCTGGGCTTCATTTGATAGCCCTGTTAGGTGGGCAGGTCTTGGGTCCTTGTTTTTTTTTTGTTAGATAAGGAAATGTAGCTAAGAATAGGCAGAGCTGTGACCTGTCCAGTGCTTCCCTCCAGGTTTTCTTGGTTGGCCCTCTGGCAAGGAAGAGCCCCTCCGGATTGGCTCACCTGACATAGACACCGAAGATGCCCAGCTCTGAGATACATTGGACCACTCGGACAGGGCATCCAGGCCGTAGTAGGCAATTCCCAAAAGGCTCAGGCTCAATCTTCTCCATGAGGATGTAGGAGGCTCTCTCCTCGCTGTCTTTCAGCCGCTCCAGGGTCTGCACCATCTCCTCCCCGTATAGGTTGTTACCTGCAATTCCACTGGCCAGTCACCATGGACCCTGTGTCCACCTTTTCCACCCCGTTCCCCCACTTCTGGGGCCGTCTGGGCAATCGGCAGCCTCAGTTCCTGACACCAGCTCACTGAAGCCAGGGCAGGCCTGGCTCCCAAGGAGGAAAGGTCACCTTAACAAAAGAGTCTTGATTCACACAAGTGAACACACCTTCCCCACACCATCCTGCCCTGGTTCTCCTCCTACCTGTCTATAGCTTTTACTTTTCAGCCTCTCTGACTGGCTCCTGCCCCCCTTAAATGTTGGGATTTCCAAGGAATTAGTCCCCCATCCTCATTCTCTCCTCCATGTACACACTTTTTTTTTTTTTTTTTTTTTTTTTTAGGAAGATCTCTTCCAAGACTCCATCTATATTCTACAACTTGTTAACTTCCAAATCTTTAACTCAAGCTCCCTGCTCTAGACATCACATGAACATCCATTGGGTCCCGAAAACAAACTCAACATGTCCAAACAGAATACATTACTTCTGCCTGAACCTGCCCATCTTGGACCTTCCTACTCCCAATCAGGCAAAAGGTATTCCTGAGTCATATTTAACTCCTTCCTCTCCATTACCTCACCCAGTCAGACATGTCTCTTCAGTCTGCACCCCACACTGTCACAGTGCTAGCCCAAGCCTCTACATTGCTCTTCTGGACACCTATGCCAGCCTCCTCTCTGGTCTTAAAACTCTAACAACATCCCACTACCCTTAGGAAAAATCCAATTTCCTGCATATAGTAAATGTCCTTTATAATTAGGTCCCAAACTACCTTTACCAGCTCAAAACCCTGCCTCCTACTTCCCATGCTGTACTCCAGCCTCACCGTAACTCATTAATCTCTCAACACTTTCATGGACCAGTGCTTTTGCTTAAGGTTGCTCCTTCTGTATGGTATGCTCTTCCCCATTTTCCACCTGGGAAACTCCTACCTATCTCCTAAGACTAAGATCAAAAACCGTTTCCTCTCGTTCTGTGAGGCAGAAATGATCCCTGCCTTCAAGAAGTTCACACTAGGCAGGAAGACATCTAAAGTCCTGATATATCCCCATCCCACTTCCCCACAATCCACCCACAGACACCTCAGACTAAATTTGTCCAAACCCTCAAGTGCTGGTTAATTAGATTCCCCTGTGCTCCACAGCACTTGTCACAGGGTCTCCTGGGACACTGTCCAAGGTGAGAGCCTGTGTTCATAGCAAGTGCTGGTCAGCACTGGTAACAGTCTGCTAGCCCCTTTTCCCTGAGCAGCCCAGAAAAGGGGGATCCACATACCTCCACCTTCTCTCTGGGGCTTTAACACAAACCGGTTAGGAGCAGCAAGGGCCTCAGCGATGGCCTGGTCCCCTTCTTCACCCTGGTAGGAGGTAAGAAAGCGGTCACTGGCAGTCTTTGGCCAAAGAGGCAGGAGGTGAGGTCCTGCTGGTTGGGCAGAGCAGCATCAGAGGAAGAGCATCGGGGAGAACGGTAAGCCCCTTTAGACCGGATGCATGTGGCCCCTCAAAAAGACTCCTGCAGCAGCAAGTACAAGAGAATAAGTTTTCTCTGGCAACAATTCAGGAGTCTGCAGCAGAAGATCTGGAAAGTGGGTACAGATATTCCCTAACCCTTGCTGTCTGCCTCAGCCTTTCCTCCGGTTACCATCCCCATCTCCACCTTTGCTGAGAGAGTTTACAGTAGATTCTAGCTCCTCTCCCCAGGACAGAGCATCACTGACCCAAGTCCAGTCCAGTGCCAGCTCCAGCCTCCCCAACGCATTGAGCTCTGGGTCCCTACCATCTAAGAGGCCTGCGGTGGGAGAAATGGGCTGCCTACACACCAGATCCAGTGAGTACAGGCCAGCAAAGGTGGCACGGAGGCGGGCCACAGCCTCAGGCTGGTCAGGGAGCAACACCTCCAGCACGCCCACTCTGCTCAGTTCCTGCTGCACCTTCTTAGTTCCAGCCAGCTGGGTGGCAATATCTGGGCACTTGACAGAACATGACCTCTCCAGCAGCAGGCGTGCTTCCCAGTTCTGCAAAGAGAAAACAAGAGGAATTCTACTTTATTTCACATCAGCTGTCCATTAAGTGCCAGGTATCGTGCTTTCTATTCTCATTCATTATCCCCAGGGTCACTGCAACATCCTTGTG